AGGCCTGTCAAAGATATGACAGGTCTGGGCTTTCCCCAGCCAGGGCTGTGTGCATGTATGTGGTAGCTGGAGGTTATGACATCTCCTACCCACCTTTCCTCAGGGGGATCCTTGGTCTTGGTATTTCCTGGGGCTGCCGCGGCCATACCTCCAAGTTGATCCTGGCATGGAAGCTCAGCAAGGACATGTTCTTCCCCTGCTGGCTGGTGATGCAGTGAGTGTTGCCTCCAGCTCTGAGAGTGGGGTATTACATTACTTTTAAAAAATGAAAAAAGGAAATAGGTGCAGATGGAGTGAGGAGGGTGGCATTCACTCTGTCTGCACCTGGAACTTAGGGAACCCCAGGAGCGGGAGTTTCACCTTGAGAAACACCAGCTGCTCCACCAAACCAGAATCCAAACAGGTGCGGTGGGGTGTCACTACATCCCCAGCAATGCTGAACACCCTCTCATTCAAAACAATGGTTGATGGACAGGACAGGTCCACAGGCATATCCAGACACATGTGGCTGCATCTTGCCCAGTAGGCCAAGGGGTTGCATAGCAGCAGCTCCACATGCTCGGTGAGATAGGCAGCCACCAAGGCCTGAGCACTACCTGCCTGATGGTGGGGTCTGGTGCCTCTGGACCCCACTATGAAAGCCATGCCCTTTGCCCACATTAGCAGCGCCTCTGGTGAAGGAGATGACTGGCTAGTGGATGGTGTGCTAGCATGAGACAGTGGATCCTCCATTTCCACATCCCCCCGCCTCCACTGTTCTGCCTTCCTGTCTGTTTTCACCAGCACCTCCATACACTGATTCAGGCTTTGGATGCTGTATATGCTGCCCTTAACCCTTGGGTCACACATGGTAGTCTGCATGTGGACTGTACTGGACAACAAGGGATCAAAACATTTCCTGATGCTCTCCTTCAACCACATCACCAGTGCCTGCACATCTGGTGACAGTGGCTTGCCCCAGCCAGGAACATTGATTCCCTGGAAGCTCTCCATTTGGCTCTGAAGTTCCCTCACTATGGGGATCACCTGGCTAAGGAGGCCATCGCCAGTGCTAAGTGTCTTGGTGGCCTCGAGGAAGGGCCTGAGGACCACCAAGATCTGAGAGATGGTATCTTATTCAGCTCTGTTAAGGGGGCCACTGATCCCAATCTCCCCAAGAAGGGCCATCTCATGGATGGCCTTCTGTTGCTCCACTTGCCTTTCAAGCATCAGGTATGTGGAGTTCCATCAAGTCTCCAAATCCTGCATGATTTTGTGGTGCAGGATGTTCATCTCTGCTTATTTGTCCTGCAACATCTTGCACCCCTTGATGCTCCGGTGGAAGTAGCCTGCCACCTTCCTGCATTTGGAAATGAGCTTGCTGGTGGTGCCGGCACCATCACTGGCAGTCCCGTCCCCCTCCAAGGTGTCCCTGACTATGAAGTGAAACGTGTGTGCTACACAGCAGATGCCAACAAAGTTAGCATCATGGACTGCCTTGAACATATTGGCCCCATTGTCGGTGACCATGAACACATGAGTGAGCTCACCAACCTAGTGAGCCATCCCTGCACCAAGTGGTTCATGGCCCCCATGATCTCTGTTGCTGTGTGGGACTCATCCATCACCTCAGCTTGAAATAGAGCCCACTGACAGCCTGACTGGTCACACCAGTGCCCTGTGAGGGAGAGGTAGGCATGATCTCCACCCCAGTTGCTCCAGATGTCCAAGGTGAAATGTAAGCCCACCTATGGACTTGCCTTGAACAGCTCCTGCCTCAAGTACTTCCTGCATGCCTCATATAGGAAGGGCACCACTGTCCTGCTGAAGATGGTGCATGCAGGTACTTGATAGGATGGGATCATGAGTACCATGAGCTGCCTGAACCCTGGCTGCTCAACTAAGGAGAATGGCTGACCATCCACAGCAAGCATCTCCCCAATGCTCTGGGTGATCTCGCTTGCCCTTGCAACATGCCCCGCTTTCTGTCTGCCTTTCCCCCACTGTTCTAGGATGGCATGCCTTTGCTTAGGGAGGACAGAGGCTTTGGAGTGAGAGGGGGACTTCCCTTTGGGCATCCTCCCACTGGTGTCAGACTGAGGAGGAACAAGGGAAAGGGGGTGGTACCTGCAGAGATGCATCAGCATCCCTGTGATACTCATGTGTTTTGGTCCCTTGCCCTGGTTGGTTTTGGCTCAGTAGTGCAGGCAGATAACGACTGCTATCTGCTAGTGGGATCATCTGCCAGCTGAAAATGATCCCAGACCAAACTACTTGCTCACTTCTGGGGTGCGGGTACATGTGTGGATGCTGCAATTTCCCCCTCTTAAGCAGGCAGAGGCATAGCAACAGGAGGAGTGGACTCAGCTGAACTGCTTGCTTCTGCAACCTCTACCTCAGCCTCCTCTGAAGTGCTGTCTGGGGAAGGAGATCTAGCTCTAAGAGAAACTTGAGGGGTGTGGAGCACAAACTCAGCTGATTCCAACTCCTTCCCTAGAATTTCCCTTGCTAGGGCACTCAGATCCAGATCCAGTTCCAGCTCTTCCTCTGGCACTGGAAGTCTCAGCACAGGAAGTGAAATGGGGGTGGAGGAGACTGTCATGCTGGTGCTGGTGGGGGAGGCAGGTTATGGCTGGTGCTCTTGGAGAGGATTCAGTCTCAGGCAGAGGCAATGGCACTGGCACTGCTTCCCTCTCCTTGACGCTTCTGGAAGCCTCATCCTTGCTAGTTGTAGAAAAGAGGCTCTCTCTCAGGTTGGGGGAGGGGGAACTTACACCTCTCCCTCTATCCCCACTTCTGCCCCTCCCTGAAGGCTGCCAGCTGCCTTTCCACCACACTTCATGGTACAGGTACTCCTCACTTAACGACCTACCTGTTTAATGACCGCGCGGACTTACGACCAGCTCTCCATAGAGTCGTAGAGCTGGTCGGCAGCGCGGTGTCTCAGCGTCAATCTGAGGGGGATGTGGAGCTGAGCCCGGCACCCTCCAGCCGGCTCCGCGAACCCACGAGGGGGAAGAAGCATCCACCCAGACGGCAGTGGCCAAGACTCACCGCCAAGGCCCGCGCCTTCCCCTCCCCCGCTGTTTCCCTGGGGGCCGACTGTGGTCGGTAAGGGGCGGCTCCTCGCTTATCGACCAATTCGCTTAACGACCGAGTCGTAGGAATGGAACTCGGTCGTTAAGTGAGGAGTGCCTGTATTTCATAGTGTCTTGTTTTTATACAAATATATAAATGTATCTGCATACCTATATACATTCTATAATGCATGTAATATGCTGCAAGGTATAAATGTATAGAAATAAAATATAAATGTATCTCCCTTCCTGTATAAATTCTAGAGTGTAATATCCAATATAATTATAAAATTGAAAAGAATAAATAGATGAATATAATAATACAATAAAAAGGTCTAGAAGAAAGCAAAAGTTATTGTGGAATCCCACTTATGAGGCTAGCACGTAGGAAATAATTCAAATCAATGCCAGTAGTAGCTTTTGTTGTGTAACGCTCCTGAGCTGCTGGAAGATAGCTCAGTAACTGTCAGACCCCAAGGCAGAAAGCAGGCCAGTTCAAACAATGTTGCCTTTTATGCTGTTTTTCCATCCCTACCCCAGAGCACTGGGATTGGAAGGGACCTCAGGGAAGGGTCACAGTCACTGGCCAGCTACACAGTCAATACGAGAGCAGTCCTTCCCCCCCTCCCCCCTATTCCCCCTCCATCTCCTTACTTTATGTTTTCCTGCAGGCAAGCCCACCTTGAGCTTCAAAACTCAAAACATTTCAAAACTTTCAAAATATTTTAACTGCCCTCATTTTGTTTCAAGGCTGTTTCAAAAGCCTTTGTTTCATTTCAATTTTACTGTTTCAAGCTCGAAACGCATTGAAACAGCGTTGAAACGAAACAGCCAGCGGAATTTCGCACAGCCCTAACAGGTACCACTGTAATTGTTCTTTTTGCCCTGTCACTAAAGGTGTCAACAAAATATTCTCCAGAGCACATCTTCCTACAACTATGAGTAATATTAGAAGGACACTCAATTCCTCAAAATATGGCCCAGTTTCAGGTACAAGAAAATTCTCCAACCTATCCCCCATTACCTAATCTATCTCCAGTCTTTTAAATACAACTTACAGCCTCTTGACTATGCCTATAAGTGGACAATCTTATTTATAAAATATGACTTGTTCTAGAGACCTAATGGAAATGACCCCTCAATTTTAGTATTTCACACTGGTAACATCATATACAGCCCAGCTAGGGCTTCTAATAATGTGATATATCTTTAACAAAGAAACATTCTGATTTTGTAATGTTTACACAAAATATTTTGACATTAAACTCTGTCAAAGTGGTAAGCATTCATATTATTCATGCTGATATATGCAGAATAGTTAAATGAATACCAAAGTGATTTTAAAAACATTTCAGTACAGGACCACCTGTTAAATAATTCACCATTACTCCTGTATAACCTTAAACCTTAAATACTAAAGGCAATGATACCAACCATATAGATTACTGAATTCAAAGTCTCAATAGTTTGAAAATCCAAAAGACAAATTTATTTTGGGGTTTGGGTGGCAAATGCTATATTTCCCATGATCAAGATTTATGTTCAACTATTATAGATACAAAAACTGATAAAACTGACCCATTTTAGCAAAAGAATATTTCAATCTGTCTATAAAATTTACTCTCAATCTGCAATATATTTTTTTTGGCTGAATTATGAAACCGTTGCTTTTTCTTTTGTGCTGTATGACCTTTCTTCTAATGTGTATTAGTTAAGTATCTGGATGACTTGAGAAATCATAAATCAAAAATAATGTAAATAAAGACTTGACTCAAAGTTCCATTTGAATTCATTTGGATTTCTCCTCTAATAATCAGGTGATCTCCTTCACTCCCCTTGGTATAGTTGAACATCTTTGCTTATGCAACAATTTTAAAATGCAGAGCACAGGTGATAGCTACCTTCATTGAGGAAACAGGCTCACATTCAGGGAATGAATTATACCTGTGAATCCAGGGAGGCAAAGACACTGGTAGCCTCCAAGCTTGTTTAAGCAGCTTCCTTCATGTAAGCAAGGCAAAACTTCACACTCATCTATATCCAGTTCACAGAGTGACCCATAGTATCCAGGTGTGCAATTACAGGAGAATCTCAGAGAAAGGAGAAAAAGATAAAGAGAAATCAATAGAAACAAACAATATGATCTACTGAAACACTGCAGATCTTTCCATATGGTTATTTGTTGAGCTGTGATCCCTTATCACCAACCATGTTAAAATAATCAACAGACTTCACTCATTTCCATGTCTCTGAAGTAAACCGTGTGATTTACAGGGTTTTTTTTTTTTAATGAGTAGAAAAAACTGTGCTCAGTAAGTTCAGTGAAAACTAAAAAGAAAGAAATAATGGCTAAAGTTGTATGTGTGCGTGTGTGTGTGTGTGTGTGTATTAATAATTACAATGTCTTAGACCTAAACACAACACAGATGTACACCAGAAAAGCTAATGTGAAGGTAGAGAATAATAGGATTTCAGTTCAATCATTGTACCTGACAGCTAATATTCCTGATTCTAAGCTATGGACAAGCTGCACCAAAGCCAACATCACATCTTCACACACACCATCAGTTATAAGCAGTAATGAATCCAGGTGGGGTGCAGAGGGTTTTACACCTCTTCAACTGTGTACTTCATGCACAATGAACTCTGAGCTCACTGGCTTCTCAGAATGCCTCCTGCTAGAGTTGTCACTTTCGTGCTGGTCCAGAGCACAAAAGGACAACATCACTACCACTTGCCCTCAACTCTTTTCTTCTGCCACCAAATTTGGCAGAATTCAGTTGTAAGGAACTGACACAGTTGGATATGCCTAATCTTATTTTAGTATAGGCAAAATCTGCCCACAAATGGTAGTTACTAAATGGCCAAACTAATAACTGAATAATTTATTTGACAGCAGAAATCATGTATCCATTTTCACTGAGAATTACCTACGCACAGGGTATGATTCTTACCAATCTGATCCTTATTTCCAACTGTTTAGGAAAATAGTTTCTCTGAACAAATATAGCCTATTGATTTAACAAGAAATGGATGCTATTAGTATTCACGGTTTGAGATTTAGCAGTAGGCCAGCTAAATGGCTCAAATAAGTAACTCAGTATTGTTTCTGTTCCTTGATCAGATCATTTAGGGTTTTTTTTCTGTGCAGAAATTCTCTATACCTGTAATAAATGAGCACTTATTGTGTCCCTTGCTTATGCATTGGTCATCATTTTTTTATAAAATGGGTTATTACTTACAATTGTATAAGAATATATTATGGAAATTCCGGTAGCAACGCCTAGGGGGTGCACGTGGGTGCCAAGCAAGAGCACCAGTGTCCCCCCTGCAAACACCAGCTGGGGAGTGGGGCACTAGGAGAAGTGTCACTGGCACTTCTGGGAGCATTGCTTGTCCTTCTGGGTCAGCGTGATCGCTTTCCCCTCTCCCCCCGCCTCCCCCTCTGTTGGCAAGATCAGCTGGGGGGGATCCCCGACCCCCAGTTGATGACTAGAGGCATGAGCTGCCTATGTTAAATGTTAAAGAGAGTTAAACAATATGAAGGAGTCTTTCTGCAATGACAATTCTTGTAAATAGCTCCATCGCCGTGTTTTCTGCAACTATTCATGTGAAGAAGAATATGACTTTTCACATATATTTGTCACTAATGAACATTGCAAGTACTATCAAAGTTAGTAGGTTGATTTTATACACAAATACATTTGTAAATGGTTTTCATGCAGCTTTAGTTACTAACCTGTTTATAAGATCTAGGCAGGTTGCATTGTTTTTGCAGGGTCTTGATGAACATTCATTAATGTCCACTTCACACTGTGACCCAGAAAAACCATGTTGACAGGAACATCTGGCAAATAAAGTGGCACTGGCTGAATGTGACAAACTTTTCCATTTATTATAAATTATGATAGCAACAATGAAGTGGTATGTTTTGGGGTTTAAAAAAATATTTTTTCCCCCAAAATGCTATTAGAATTACTGTCATCATAAAAAAATGCATTTGGTTTTAGTTTAAAGAAATCAGGGAGCACAAAGTATATAAAAGCATAATGGATCCAACTGATGAAACAAACAAGCAAACAATCCAGATAAAGTCATGGGGAAAAAAACAGAGAGAAAAAATAATTAGAGTATCAAAATCAATATTATAATTTATCTGTGTCATAATACATAGCTTCAGTATTCAAAGTTCTTCTTACCTGTAACTATTAACCCCATCCACACAGAGACCATGGTTCCAGCATGGATGGGAAATGCACTCATCAGTGTCAATTTCACAGTAAGCACCTTCAAATCCTGAAAGATAGATGATAAGAGAACGGATCAGTGATCTCTACTACATTGCATGAATGTCAGGATCAATGACAACAAAGACCCTGGTGAATGCCATCTAAATGGAACTTGTAACCTCCTAGCATTTTATCCTTCAGCCTTAATAGGCAATATTTTCCCTTAGATAATATAACAAGTTTAATCATACTTTAATGCACACGAGAGACTTGTATGCAAAAAATGAGCACCAAAATCTACTGGGGAAATGTAGCCTATTTTAAAGGTTTGAAAATGCTTTATCAGGAAGTGAAGGGGTATTTCTAAATGTTAAAAAAACCCCAACAGATCCATGTTGAATACATAGTTATTTTAAATTAATCTTGCAGAGATCACATTTATTCAAAACAATCAGTAGATGAGGAAAAACATGTAATTGGTTTCAACACTGAAATGCATCAAAGAAAGCAGTTCATTATAATTCTTATCTGCATAACTCACCCATGCTCATGAGAAAAGAGAATTTATAGAGTGATACTCAAGAAAGTTCATTTACTGAAACATGCTGAATCTTAACATTTCAGCATAAAATAATAATTTTGTTAAATATAAAAACTTGTTAAAATGATACAGAAAAAACTGTAAACATGCAAAGACAGTTTTCCCAATGACTGACATCAAAGTACTGCTCTACGCAAAACACAACTTTCTCTGTCTCAGTTCTAAGCCCAGGGAAGTGAATGGGGACCTTTCCACTGAGTTTTGAAGGGTTTGGAAAACACCCCTAGAAAATACCTTTCATGCAAAATTTTGACAAAACTTTACACATTTTATGATGCTTCTCAAGCTGGGATGCCCGCTTGGGATCAGCTTTGCCTGATCTCCACAACTGCCCTTAAAGTCAGCCCAGGTATGTCTACAAGAGCAGGGGAGGAACCCTGGCTCCTTTCTACTCTGATATCCAGGCCTTTTGTTCCTAATCCACCCTGGTTGTTCTGCAGCTCTGCCACAGGAGCTAGATTTTATTCCAGCTCCTAAAAGAGAGTTTTTATCTCTTGTTGGGGAGAACAAGTGCAACCTGAAGTTCTAAACAGCAAAGTAGTCTCTTCAGCAAAGGTGTTTATTTTGGTAAAGCCCACAGAGGAAAAAGGTCCTACTCCCTCCAAGGGATGAAGCAGTCACTCTGCCCCTAGTCCATGCTGCACAGCACTGAGCATTTAAAAAATAACTCAGTTTTCTTTCTCTAGTCTACCCAGAGCCCCAACGCTGTTCCTTGGTTTCTCTTTCTAGACTGTATCCCCAACTTGTCCATCCTTGTTGAATCTATTGTAATGTTTATTTCTCTCTCCTCCTTTTAGGGGTGTTTTCTAAAATCCCCACCTTTTTTGAAGTGTCAACAAAGCTATTCAAGTGTCTGGCTTGTCTATATCTTTAACCCACTCTTTCTTCATGTACTAGCTTTATCGGTTGTTGACCGTCCCTTAATATGAGGATCAGTCTTCCAGTGAATGGGAAAGTCATCAGTGAATCACTGGATGACTGAGGAGGCTGATCCCAGATCCACATATCTGATTACAGACTTAGCAAATAATTCCAGGAGGAAGGAGTAGATCCTGGTGATGTCAGGTCACAGATCTTTTCCTTTCTCTCTTTTGTCTATCCTCCTTCACAGCGAGATGAGTTTGCTCGAAATTATTGATGCTCTGTTGTACACCATCATATCATCAGGGATGATTCAGTGTTTGAGTCTTCCAGGTATTGATGTTAATATTGTATTTCTTCAGATTGGCCTTCAAGGTGACCTTTAATATCTTATTTTGTCCACCTCAAGAGTGGTGACCATTGTTCAGTTGGGAGTATAAAACCCCTGCTCAGACCAGGTTGTCAGGCATTGTTATGGCATGCTCTGCCCAATGCAGCTGGTGTTGTATAAATATGGCTCCAATGCTGGTGGTATGTTCTTGAACCAGAACACTGGTATTAGTTCTTCTGTCCTTCCAGTTGATATGGAGACTTTTCTGAACTTGTTGCTGATGGTATGGTTCCTAAACTTTCAGATGTTTCCCAAATGTTGTCCAACTTTGACACCTATACAAAAGTGGGGATGATGAGAGCCTGGTACATGAGAAGATTGGTTTGGGTTCTGTTATAATGAGCAGCAAAGACATGATTTCAGAGATGTTCAAAGGCAATATTGGCAGCTTTTATCCAGTGTTAAATATTGGCCCCTATGTTTACTATTTAGGAAAGTTAGTAACCAGGTAGGGGAAATGTTCCACATTCTCCAAGGATTGCTCTATCATTATAAAGTAGAGAAGCTTGCTTTGATGTTCTTCAGGGTCTTTTGTTAAACTGGTGGATATGAAAGATAATCCTGAATAGACTGTGTGGAATGACTTTGATGAAATTGTCTCCAACACTGAAGTCTCACTTCAGGAGCTTTTGAAAGTACTCATTCCACCATGTGTAGGTGGTGGAGCTGTCTTTAAGGAGTGTTCCATCCTTGAACCTCAGAGGGACAGCTCCCTGTGTGCTTGCCCCATAGATAGCTTTGGTTGCTCTGAAGAAACTACACATGTCATTGCTATAATCACACTTTTTAATCTCTTTTGCTATGATTAGCAACTTGTTCTTCCACTTTCAAATTTTCCTCTGGGTCTTGGCTGTAATGTGGTGATAAGTGCCTTGCCTTTTGGAACTGATGTCATTCTGCCAAGCTTTGAAGGCTCTCCTTTTTCTGTCATTGAGCTCTATCATTTTCATTGAACCAGTCCTGATATTTCTTTGTGGAGAAGCCTAGAGATTTTTAGTACACCTCATGGGTTCATTTCCTGAGACTCTCCTAGTGATCAATGATGTCAAGATAATCAGGGAGTTTAGAGTTTTTCATTGAGAAACTTCTGGTGATGATTGCTTTTCCCAGGATCTGTCAAGGACTTGATACTAAACCGGGTCTCCCCTATGGCTGGGAGCCATCAACTCCATGAATGCAAGTGCAATTGTGTGAATCACACATTAGATTCCATTGCACCTTTAGCTTTACTATGTTTCCATATTCTAAAGCTAGTATTGTGCACTGTTATGGCAAGTAAGAACTGAGCATCCTCCCTGAGTCTATACATAGTTTTTAGGCCTGTGTGAAGTGGCTACTATTCACTTCAGATTCAGATTTCTCCAATTTGGGGGACAGTGATTCGATTTGGTGATTCGAATCACTGTCACAATTCCATTTGGCTGAATCTGATTTGGACATTCAGCTGCTGCCAAATGTCCAAATCAGTCAAAGCAGGCCCATCTCCCACCCACTCTCCCAGCCCAGGGAAGGCTGCCCCGCCCACCCCAGCCCCTGGTTCTTTGGAAAAAAAGCCCTAACTCAACGGGTGCTACTGGGTGGGGTGCAATCCCCGCTACCTCCCACTGCCCCACACTGCATGGGGG